AAGATAAACACTATGCAAATATCCACGAAACGGCAGTTGTAGTCTTTTCTGCTAGTGTTTTAAAACACTAATTTGAGCAACGTTATTTCGCAATTTCGATCTTTTGTAAACCTGGGGTGATGTATCAAGGTCTAAAGTAACCGTTTTATCAATTTTTGAAAAATCAAGAAAAAAGTGAAAATTTCCCTTCTCGCTACCTTAAATATTTCATTGACCACATGAACCTGTGTTTCTTGAAGTGCGTGCAAGTTTGTTACAGGTGTGCGTGTTCTCTCCCTGGGCTCTACCCTGACAATACTGTGCATTAATCAGATAGATGTGACATATACAAATTGTGCAAAATACATTGTTTGTTTAGATGATAGGCGATCTTTACTTTTTATCCCAAGTAACTTACAAGTCAATAGTTGCCTTTATTCATGTAAGATACAGATGCACATTTAGATTGCCATGTTAGTAAAATTATTTACTTATTTTAAGTTTGGGTAAAACCGAAGCATGTGGCGAACATTAGTCAGGTACCACATGGATATTGTGAAACACACAATGGGAGTATATGTAGTCAGTGTGTGTCTCTACCCCCCTCTCTCCAATCATCAGATTTCAATGAAATGTAAGTACTGAGAGCAGAAACAGTTCCTGGTAACAGTACACACGGCTATTAGAGCATACACAGGTATGCTCTAACTATTAAAGCTGCAAGCCTAACAACTGAGTCACCATGCTACACATAAGATACAATCAAAGAAAGCTTAGAATGAAATCCTGTGCACTGGCAGTATTGGAGACACATTAAAATTAATTCAAAATTTAAGATTAGCCTTTCAAACAAGAAGCATGGTACAAAATGTAACTAATATTTGTCTGCTATTTGAGATGCACAACATGGAAACAATGTGATTCACATTACCAACATTTATAACACTTGATTTTTTTATCTGTGGTTCAGCTTAATAAATTCTGAGGCACCTGTATGACAATTCAATTAAAATTGTTTGAATATCAAAAATGACAAATAAAAATTAGATAATCAATATGCATGTTTTTCAACATTAAACTAATTGTTG